TCCCCACTATGGTGTCCAGATATATTCATGGAGGAAGTAGCACGACCCTCGACTGGGCGGCAGGAATCTGTGGCCTCCGCGTTAATGGGGAACTTGTCACCTTCGTACTCCCTGTCGCTATCTGTTCCCAGATCGAAGCCACGCTGCGACAGCTTGGTTGGAGACAACGCATATTTCCTTGAGTCACCAGTGTCGCCGAATAATCTGCCGTACGTGTCATAGATCTCGCTACAGTTGATGTTTCTGTACTTTGCGTACTTAGGGTTCTCCTGCATGGATGACAAAGATGACAAATAACATTCGAAACCAAATGAAGTAATGACTGCTGCATTTACATGTATCCATGAGTTCATAATATTACGTCCGGTGGGGAATGCAAGGTAAGCATAAATATTATACTACTTGTTTTCACATAAAAGTCATGCAATTGGGAGATGCAATGAAACTAGTACAACGACATTGTGTAAAGTAATCTTGTGAGGGAATATTATTCAAATATCGTATACAATTTTGTAGAAGAGCAAGTGTAACTGATGTATGGGTACAGGTTCAATGGGATCCTTCCAAATTTACTCGTCCCTGAAGCCGGCTTTAACACTTCATCCAATTCATCACTTTGGCAATAATCGTCTCTGTTACAATTGACATTTAAATTTTCTTACTTCACAAAAGCATTGAAATCATGGACATGGTGTGAAAGGCCTATGCAACATAACTACCCTTAAGACATCGTAATTGGAATGGTTTAATTAAACCCTTATACAGATACGAAATATTGGTCAGAAAAACACAGTGTACTTAAACAGTCTGATCAAAATTTATGCTAGCATTAGTATTCATATACGACACCCCAAATCACCTCCATGACGCCTTATCAAACCCTAGTAGATTGATTAGTGTAATTAACGGGAAGAGAAATAGTTTACGTAAATCGTTTCTCCGGTTGTACGGTAGTATTCATATACGACACCCCAAATCACCTCCATGACGCCTTATCAAACCCTAGTAGATTGATTAGTGTAATTAACGGGAAGAGAAATAGTTTACGTAAATCGTTTCTCCGGTTGTACAGGTATGCACCAGTACTTGTGCCTAGATCAGTTGCACATGAGGACTAATATTCCAGAAACGCACTTCAAGGTTACATTAATCTGATGGAGTCCAACGTGCAATCTGATACCATCTAATCGTACATTCTGATGGAATGTTTCAATGATACAAGCGAACGATTACCTTAATTTTCGCTTCCTACCAATGGTCCGGGGCGTGAATTCTTCCTGTACCCGATCGGTACTCAAAAGGTCACGTAGCGTTGTTGAGCTTGTCCGTAAACACTAGGCAAGAGTTAAATAACCAGTAGTTCTTCATCTGCGATGCAGTCCAATCCTTCCCCGTAGAGGCATTGAACATGGCTGCTATACGACGCCATCCTGTCGAGGAGAAGCATTTGCCTCGTCGATGGCCTTCAGCTACAACTAATTCGCAGGTATCGATGAATACTTTGTGCTCTGCCTGGTTCCACCTCGCTGTCTTTCGCACCCTGCCTTGGGCTGCCTGCGTGTGAGACGGAGCAGATGGCAACTTGTCGGGGCTCCCACTTGTGAACCACTGCCATGGGAAAATCGGTGTTAGAGTCAGGTTATAATGCAATTACAACGGAGAAAACGACAACGCAAAAGTTGTTCCCGTCTTCGTTGACATGGGAAATCGAATGTGGCGTGTAGGCAAAAATGTCTCAAAACATGAAGCGAAATTTTCAAGTAGATCACAGGCGGTGTGTAGTGACTGTAAAATTCCGATTTGGGTAGCGCAAGACAAGTTCTCGTGTAAGATTCTTACTGCCGGCTATGCTATAATGTGTGCACATATGCTGTTAATTCGCGTTGAACCCATGTGCACAACATGATTCCAGTTTGAATTGCACCCCAAATTCACACAGAAACGGGCACCGGAAATACACAGTTCGAAGAGTGCCTTACCGTACGGTCGGGGGAACTTTGCCACGGGGAGAAGTTGTGTTCCATGAAAGTCGGTCAGAAATTGGTGGTGGACGCCGGATGTGAACCCGCAGAAGCTCCAGATCGATGTGTAGAACCCCCCTCTCGTACAGAAAATTGAAGTATCTCCAGGAAATCGGACATGGTGAAGAGGTAAATTAGGTTGGGTGTTCGATGGGCAGTAGCGAAATGAACCCGTAAGGCTACTGGATTTAACGCCTGATCTGGTTTGGCCGGTGATTGGTGGTGAAAATTCCGGTGGCGTTATCCCCCAATTCGACGGGTTGAAGCAGTAGGTGGAGAAGTCACAGAGTTTGGAAAATGACGGACGAAGCCGCTGCCAATGGGGGCAAAACCGGGAAGAAAATACAACGGGTAGAAGGTTACAATTCTGGGTCCTCTGCCGGATTATTTGACTTTTGGGGAGGGTTGTCAGTGTTGCACTGTTGGGAAATTCGTTTTTCTACAAAAAAAAGGGTTTCAAACAGGGTCTTAGAATTTAATCTAGGAAAAATTGCATCTACGGCCTCAAATCTTTCCCTTTTTTGCAGGTTTTACTCCAACCTTCACTTTGTGCTATCCACGATTCCAAGCCTTTCAAGTATTCTTACCATAAGGACAAAATGACAGAAATCGTTAGTCATTCCATTAGTTGACCAAAGGCCAACGACTTGTCCCAGTTCATTTTTTTTTAAGGACAAAAGGGCAACTTTAGATTTATTATATTAAAGAATTAAAATATATTGAATAAAAAACAAGAAATAAAAAAGAAAATAATTTGGAAAGTTATTTTTCTTCTTCCACTTCTTCCTACCCCACTCCCACACTCCACCATACCCTCAGGGAAACCAAAGCTACTTGTGTAGCCATTATTGTAGATCCAAGTCATTTGACAACGACGACCCCCATCCTCATTGCATCGACAATCATCAACCCACCACACAAATCGTCTCATGAATCCATCTAATGCACGGATCCACCATTTATTATTTTTATTTCAGGTCAAACCCGGGGGGGCATAAACCACAAGCCACAAGGCTAGTTGGAATTTCCTCATGTACTTGTAAAATCGACAAAATCCTAAGCTCATGGTTGATGATGTTGGAGAATGAGATGTTAGAGAGACCAGTGTTTTATGAAATGTCTGTTGCCGTTAGAATTCGAGAATGAAGAACTTTAAGGATGGACATGGAAATGGACAGCTTTAAGGAATGGTGGGGATGTGAAAGGTACAGGAATCATTGGTGCCATGAAAATTGGAAGTTTACCAATGATGGCTGGAACTTGGAAGAACTCACTCAATTCCATATTTTCTTCATATATGTTATGAAGTAGAATTTGAAATTCTTGTAATTGACTTATCACGATTTTAGAGTCTACTATTTTGTAGTCCAAAATCTCGCCGACAATGAGCTTCTTTGTTTCAATATTCTCGATCTTATACTTATTTTCCAATGAATCTTATAGATCTTTGGTTGAATCCATCGAACTATACACTCTATAAAGTGTATTATCCAATCCATTTAGGATATAATTTTTGCAAAATAAATCCAAGTGCTCCCATGCATCCAAATCAATAATAGACTATGATTATTTTCTCCTTCTACCGTTTGAATGATCTCTTTT